CCCCACAGTTGCATAGAACCGCTCCGTAGAGCAAGGACGCAAGAGAAGGGTGCAAGGGCCTTGAAAGGCCATGTCGACACTCTGCGAGCGGGGCGCGGCCAGCGAAAGCGGCCAAGGATGGGCCGAAGGGGGAAAGGATGCCAGGGTAACCTCGGAAAGCCGCCCAGCCTTATTGTGCGGGTTGACTGCATCATTTCCTGGCACTTCCCGCTGTGAGCGGATTCTGAGCGAGAGAGTCTGAGCCTGTGGCGACTGAGCGCTCCCTGGCGGCTCCCCCCCAGAGAGCCCAAATGCTATGTCTGCGCCATCGGGATAGCCCGGGGACTCTGAAAGGATGGGGGAGGTGGGGAGGGCACATGCCATGCCTGCTACCTCGTGGGGATCATAGGGCTCCGAATGGATAGGAGTCGGCGGTGCCAGACGAGCGCCTCGCTCGAGTCAGACATCCCCACTATCTGGCCACGAACGGGCAAGTGTCCCACAACCCTAGCGGCTCCTCTTTGGGATGCCAAAGTGTCACGCCTGCTGCTGCATCGAAGTGGTCATGGGGCTCTCCAAGCAGAAGAGTTGGCGACAACGAACGAGCACCTCGCTCGCGACATCCCCACAATCTGACCACGAACGGGCAAGCGCCCCCCTAATTACCTGGCGGCTCCGCCTTGGGGTGCTCAAGTGCCACGCCGCAGTGATCACGGGATTCTCAAAGCAGAAGAGCCGGTGACACCAAACGAACACCCAGCTCGAGACAGCCCCACAATCTGGCTACGAACGGGCAAGTGTCCCCCGCCATGGCGGCTCCTCCATGGGGGGGCCCAAACGCCACGCCTGCTTCCTCGCGGTGACCATGAACGAGCCTGAGTATGAGGAACAAGTATGAGTGGGTCTGAGTTCGAGTATGAGTGAAAAAAAGTGCGGGTTTGCCTGATGTTGAGCCTGAGAATGAGTGAGTCTGAGTGTGACTGATCAGTGTGAGTGTGTGAGTGCTCTGTGTGCTTGAGTCTAAGATCGACCAAGCTGAGAATGAGTGGATCTGGGTGTGAGGAGTCTAAAAATGAGCGTGTCTGAGCGACTCTGGAGAGGGAGGGTAAGGCGGGAGGAGTGGACGCGAGGCGGACGCATCGCACTACTACAAGAATCCTGCAGGAGATGGGAAACTCCTAGACAGAAAGGCCAGCCCCGAAGAAGGGGTCGAGAGCTTCGGCGCAAGAGCTTCCTTTCAACTCTGTAAGATGTTAATGAGCAAGGTCACCTGGAGGTCTCTGGAAACCTCCAGAGGGAGAGGAAGATAACCCAGAATACATCAACGATGCTGCGAAACACAATCCCGTCCGAAATCTCCCCCATGTCTGTCGCCACCAGCACTCCGTGTCACCACGGAAAGCGCCAGCCTCGAAAGCCGAGCACCCCAAAGCGCCTTCTGGTCAGGCGAGAGCTCCGCTTTGAAAAGGAACCATCCTCCGTCTTTCTGGCTACACACATGCCAAGGATCATAAGCCCCAGTTGGAAAAGGGCCCGCGGAAGCCCCGGTTGGAAAAGGGCAGCGTACGCATTATTGGATACAATACCCATAATGATGCCCTTGCTTTCGCTGACACTGTGGAGACCGCAGACACATCGCCAGACGCACATCGACAGCAAGCCCATGGCAGTCAGCGGATGAGGGCACAGAATTCACTGATACCCCACCTCGCTTCACGAGCCAATGCGGGAACCGACACACATTCAGCACATAGTGAAACTCCGATCGAACCTATGACAAGACGATTCACTAATGGAAAATATTCGAGCATGACAAGACGGAAAATACTCGAGAACTGCGGGTCGCGTCTACAACTCCGCCTTGCCCGTGCTGGCCTTGAAGGCCTTCACAGACTTTGCCAAGCCCATGCCAGATGCCTTGACCGCTGCCACTGCCTCGTCCTTCTTATCACTCTCCGCCTGGTACTCTTTACGCAAGCGTGGCATGATCTCGTTCTTCTTGTCACCAGCTGCCTTGACCTGCGCATCAAGAGTGCCGACAAAGGTCTTGAACCCGGCCTCCAGCTCTTCGATCGTGGCCTTGCCCTTTGCGATAAACTCATCGAGCTCGCTGGCATCCATGGCGGAGAACTTGGCGATGTCTGCCTTCTTCGCATCGTCGCACAAGTCTACATGCTTCGGTCCACACTGCGGGCCAAGATTTGCTTTCGCGAAGGCACTCAAGTCATCGAACTTGCGGCCGCCCTGATAATCTTGGAGATCGTTGGGATCGCCGTACTTGATGGTGGGGAAGCCCTGAACACCCACCGTCTCGCACAGCGACTTGCCATCGGCCGTGCAGTCGACGTCCGCGACTACGGCGGTTGCCGAATCTTTCCATTCAGCCATCAACTTCTCCCAGTCAGCCTTCATCGACTTGCAGTGCCCTCACCATGGTGCCTGGAACTTCACAAAGACCGCCTTGTCAGCCACGGCGCTGTCCCACGTCTCCTGAGTAAGCTCCACGGCCATACCGAAACCTAACAACAGAGCGGAACGGCAGAGCTTCATAGCCATGGCGAACAGAAGCAACTGCAGACAGCTTGATAGTGGCAAAAATTACCCCAAAAGGCTTGAGCCAAAAAGGTTACGGACAACATCTACAATCATGAATCATACATGTGGAAGAATTCTGAAACCAGAGCCCAAGTTTAAAAGTGAGCTGCTTCCCGTGTGTGCCACCGTTGCACAATTCGGAGCAGCTGGCAACCACCACACTGTTTCCTGGCACGCTGAGGCGTGGCAGCATGTAATGTGCCGTCGGGTAGGGCTTCTGCAGGTTTCTTCTGCCCCCCCCCCCCCCATCCGCACTGTTACATGCATCACCCCTCTCTCCCGAGGCTCCCTGGGCGGCCCGACGCCTCCCTGGGGCCCTCCTGGGCTCCCACCTCCCCACGGCTTCCCAGACGGCCCAGAAGGCAACCAGGGCCGCCAGACAGGGATATTATGTGCTCAAGAGGCACTTTGCAGCCTCTACAAAACGCCACATCCACCTCGAGGGGCTTTAAGATACCCCGAGGGCGCTCTCCACGAGGGCAGGGAGAAACAAAAAGCACTGAGCACCATCCAGTGATCAAAAAAAATCTCGGCACTGTCCAAAAGGGGCCCCAAGACGGCCCGACGACAGCCCCAAGACCCCCCAGGCGGCCCAAATACCCTCAACAGGCAAAAGAGGGCACTGAGTCTGAGCTGCCAAAGAGGGCCCCGAGACGACCGAAGCGGGCCCCAGGAGGGCCCCAACACGGCCCAAGAGAGTTCAAAGACAGCCTCAGAAGGAACACAAACCGAAAATCCCGAAAAAAACCCAGGAGACCCCCAGGATACCTCCAGGAGGCCCAAAGAGGACCCCAAGAGACCCCACCAGGCCCCAAAACGGCCCCCAAGAGGCCCCGATGACGCCCCAAACGGCCTCAAAAAAGCCCCCAAGAGGCCTCAAAACGGCCCCCAAGGGGCCCCCCGAGAGGCCCCCCGCGACATCCCAACGAGCATCCCAGAGGCCGATGATCCACGGCCCAGGCACGATGACAGGATGGGACGAGGGCCATTCTAGATAAAACCAGTGGACGTGGGAGGAGCGAGAGGACAAGCGAGGAGAGGGAGGGACCAGGATTATGACACACGGCCGAGAATTGTCGGCCACGCGCCGCCACCAGGGGCCCATGCCTCCGCAAAGGTAGCGGTTGGATCTGCCAACGCCTACTCTGGGTGGAATATTACTGAGGGGTGGGCGACTAACTTTCCGCCGGATCTTGCCCATCCCAGCACCCTCCTCCACTTCCTCCACCTCTTCCCTTTCCTCCTCTCCTCCTCTTCCTCCACCCCCCCTTCCACCCGCCAAGACAACGCGTGCTCATCCCCCCCAGCGGATCCAAGGGGGGGGCGATTACTGACCCATCCATAATAACCGTTGCCTCTGGCATGTTTGGGGCGCAAATGTTTGGCGAAACGATTCCGATCAGACTCCGCGGGGGAGCTCTCAAACATCTGCGCGACAGGGTGCGAGCCGCCCTCTGGCCCGCCGGCCGCGGGGGCGCCCCACCCCGCAGAGGGGCGGGCGCTTGGCGCCGCAGCTTTTTGCACGGACGACGCGCAGCAACACCGAGCGAGGCAGCTGCGGTCGCCGCGGCGGCGCCCACCCAGGAAAGCCCGAAATCGAATCGATAAGTCGGGTCGGCGGTCGAAATTAATCGGGTCGGCGGAAATCAGCAGCCGAGCCGGGAAAAGTCGAATCGGCGGAAATCTGCAAGGTAGTATGCCTCCAACGAGAAATCGGAACCCAAATCTATATTATTGTCATAGAAAGGTCTGCCGCTATCTGCGCAGATTTGAGCGCGCCAACTGGGCGGCGTCAGCGCCCTTTCAGTCCCCCGAAGGGCAACCTGGCACTTGCCACTAACGTTCGCCCACACGAGTGCGAGGCAGGAAAAAAACGCAGCGCTGCCGCGCTGCTGCGTCGGCGCGCGGCGCGCAACTGGACGCCAGCAAGCGCCGCGCAACTAAGCGCAAATCGCCAGCGGGTTTGCCATCTCACCGAAACAAAGCGCGACGAAGAAGCAGGCGGGCCCAGGGCAACCCCGGCACCGCCGACAGAGCAAGGGGAGAAGTAATCGATTCCTACTCCTCACACGCATAGACAGGAGGAACGCCGCCCCACGTCGGCGGCCCCGAGGCCTTCAGCCTCTGGAGCTGGAAGCTCCGGGCTGGCACTTGTGGGCATGAGGGCTCGGTTCTGAACCCCGCGGACGCGACGCCCTCAGCCTCTGGAGCCGAGGACGCCCTGGCCCTCGCCAGAGATGCACGAGTCGCACTCTTCGTGGGCGTCGTAGATCTCACTCTCGCTCGCGCCCTAGATTTCCGACGCGGCCTGGTTAATACTGGCATCCGTCGGAGGCCGCGCTTTCGCGGGGCGCTCCGAGTTGACGGACTGGTCGCACTCGGTATAATCGCGCGCGCAGGAAGGGTCCGCCACGCACGCAGAGACCGCGACCTTCTTCTCGAAGGTGGCTCGCACGAACTTCGAGGGCGGATCGAACTCCGCCTTCTGGCCATTCTTCATCAGCTCCACCACCCGCTCGGACTTGGAGCCGTTCTCGGTGGCCCCCTTGCGGAAGCGAATGTTCTCCAGGATCCCCTCGTCCTTGTCGACGAACTCGAACTGGCGCATCTCGATCCTATTATCGAAATGGCCGTTGATGCCGACGATGGCGGCGACCTGCGCGCCGCGGGCGCGACGCCGCCGCCCCCTCTGCTGCCGAATGGCCCACACACACACACACTGGGGCAGCGCCTCCGCGCCCTCCCCGATGAGGTCATGTTCCGCGACGTTCCGGAGCGCCGTCGCCCCGCCGTCGATCTCGATCGGCCCGTCACGGACCGCCGCCTCGACCTTCGCTCGCAGGGCGGGCGGGCTTGATGAGCTCGACCCGCGCCTGGATCTCGTGATCCACCTCCTTGTCCTCGACCTGGTGATTGCCGCCGCCAGCCTGGGCGGCTCGCCAGAAGGCCACCGCTCTGGCCGCCACAACCTGGCGAGAGCCGTTAACGCGCACAACAGCACCGAGGAAAGCCTCTGCCATGTACAAGCTCGAACCAGGGGCTGGGCGAGCAGGCTGCTTGAGCCAAAATGGCTGCGGACGGAGCCCGAATCGAATCGGATCGGAATCGGCAACCCTGGAAATCGGATCGGAACGATTCAAAGGACTCGACAGGAGGCCTGCCCACCGCCCGGCAGCCGGCCTCGCCCAGCGAGCCGCCGTGCTCGGCAGCGGCAGCGGCGCAGGACGCGGCGGGCGGGGCAGCCGGGCCCGGCGAACGCCGTGCTCTCAGCAGCAGGCCCGGCCCACGGGAGGCGCGCGGTGCGGGAGCAGGGCTGCCTCTTGGGGCGGCGCGGCGCAGGGCCTGGCCCTCGCCGCCGGGGCCACCGTGGATGCGCACGGAGCGGCGACGACGGGCGGGCAGTGGGCGAAAGGACGGGGAACCCACCCAGAAGCGCGGGATGCGGAGGCGGCGAGGCGGCGACGGGCGCGCCCTGGGCAAGAAGACGGGGAGCCCATCCACAACCTTCGCAACACGTGTAGGAACCCCCTTTTCTGCAGGCACTGTTCGGGGATAGGCAAACGAGAAGAAGCAGAAAGCACGCCTCGATCCTTCCGAGACGCCAGATGCCTGGGTCCTGGGCCTCTGCGCTCGGAGCAAGTTGATCAAGCCGTGGCGGCGAGAACGCTCCAGGAGGCTCCCCCCACCAAAAAAAGCCATGTCCTTGGCCATCGATCTCCAACAGAGCGTCCTTTCCCGGCCCACTTAGCGCCCCCCTGGGCGAATCCGAGGAATACCGCACCCCCAAGTCATTTCAGATGGCCCCGGGGCCCAGACGGCCTCCAATGACCAAAAATGACGACAGAACGGACGTCTGGTTTGCGTGTTCGTTCGAGGCTTGTACTTGCCGACCTCCTGGCCGCCAGAGCGGCCGCCGAAGAGTTGCCCAATGGCGCCCCCCCGTGGGGCGCCTCCGATGAACAGCGCGTCCGCCCTGGCCGCCGCCCCGGACACGGGCGAGGCCCTGACGCCGCCGGTCGCCGCTGGCTCGATCTTGGCTACGCCTGGCGCCGCCGCAGCGACCCAAAACGATGGCAGCGGCGACGACGACGGCGGCGACGACGCCGCGAAGGCCGCCGCGGCGGCGGCAAAAACGACTACGGCCATGGCGACAGCGGCAACGACGACAGCGGGACGACATCGACGACGGCGACGGCGACGGCGACGGCAACGGCGACGGCGACGACGACGACGACGACGACGACGACGACGACGACGACGACGGTGGCGGTGACGACGACGACGACGACGACGACGACGACGACGACGACGACGACGACGACAACGGTGGCGGTGACGACGGCGGCGGCGGCAACGGCGACGACGGCGGCGGCAGCGGCGACGCCGACGCCGACGCCGACGGCGGCGAAAACGACTACAGTGGTGGCGGAGGCGACGACGGCGACGACGGCGACAACGACTCCGAAGCAGACGTCGCAGCGGCGGCGGCGTCCGTGCTACCGAAGCCGCCGCAATGGCGGCGACGGTGGTGGCAAGAACGACGGTGGAGGCGGCGAGCGCGACGACAGTGGCGGCGGTGACATCAGCGGCGCCAATGACGATAATGGCGGCCACGACGGCAACGACCCGACGACGACGGCGGTAACGAAAATGACGGCGGCGACGGCGGCGGCGACGACGACGACGACGACGGCGACGACGACGACGACGACGACGACGGCGGCGGCGGCGGTGGCCGCGACGACGGCGGCGACGGCGGCAGCGACGACGGCGGCGGAGGCGACGCCGACGCCGACGCCGACACCAACGCCGACGGCGGCGAAAACAACAACGATGACGGCGGAGGCGACAACGACAACGACGACGACGACGACGACGACGACGACGACGACGACAACGACGATGACGACGACGACGACGACGACGACGACGACGACGACGACGGTGGCGACGACGACGACGACGACGACGACGACGACGACGACGACGACGACGACGACGACGACGACGGTGGCGGTGGCGGTGACGACGGCGGCGGCGGCAGCGGCGACGGCGGCGGCGGCGGCGGAGGCGACGCCGACGCCGACGCCGACGCCGACGAAAACGACTACAGTGGCGGCGGAGGCGACGACGGCAACGACCCGACGACGACGGTGGTAACGAAAATGACGGCGGCGACGGCGGCGGCGACGACGACGACGACGGCGACGACGACGACGACGACGACGACAACGACGACGAAGGCGGCGACGGTGGCGGCGACGGTGGCCGCGACGACGGCGACGACGGCGGCGGCGACTACGATGACGGCGGAGGCGACGACGACAACGACGAAGACGACTACGGAAACGACGGCACGGTGACGACGACGACGACGACGACGACGACGACGACGCCAGTGGCGGTGACGACGGTGGCGGTGACGACGACGACGACGACGACGACGACGACGACGACGACGACGACGACGACGACGACGACGACGACGACGACGACGACGGTGGCGGTGACGACGGCGGCGGCGGCAGCGGCGACGACGGCAGCGGAGGCGACGCCGACGCCGACGCCGACGGCGGCGAAAACGACTACAGAAGCGGCGGAGGCGACGACGGCGACGACGGCGACAACGACTCCGAAGCAGCCGTCGCCGCAGCGGCGGCGGCGTCCGTGCTACAGAAGCCGCCGTGACGTTGTGGCGGCATCGGCGGCGACGGTGGTGGCAAGAACGACGGTGGAGGCGGCGAGCGCGACGACAGTGGCGGCGGTGACATCGGCGGCGCCAATGACGATAATGGCGGCCACGACGGCAACGACCCGACGACGACGGTGATAACGAAAATGACGGCGGCGACGGCGGCGACGACGACGACGACGACGGCGACGACGACGATGACGACGACGACGACGACGACGACGACGACGACGGCGACGACGACGACGACGACGACGACGGTGGCGGCGACGGTGGCGGCGACGACGGCGGCGGCGGCGGCGACGACGACGGCGGCGGAGGCGACGCCGACGCCGACGCAGACACCGACGCCGACGGCGGCGAAAACGACTACGATGACGGCGGAGGCGACGACGACAACGACGAAAACGACTACGGAAACGACGGCACGGCGACGACGACGGCGGCGACGACGACGACGACGACACCGCCGGTGGCGGTGACGACGGTGGCGGTGACGACGACGACGACGACGACGACGACACGACGACGACGACACGACGACGACCACGACGACGACGACGACGACGACGACGACGACGACGACGACGGTGGCGGTGGCGGTGACGACGGCGGCGGCGGCAGCGGCGACGACGGCGGCGGAGGCGACGCCGACGCCGACGCCGACGGCGGCGAAAACGGCTACAGGGGCGGCGGAGGCGACGACGGCGACGACGGCGACAACGACTCCAAAGCAGCCGTCGCCGCAGCTGCGGCGACGTCCGTGCTACAGAAGCCGCCGTGACGTTGTGGCGGCATCGGCGGCGACGGTGGTGACAAGAACGACGGTGGCGGCGGCGAGCCCGACGACAGTGGCGGCGGTGACATCGGCGGCGCCAATGACGATAATGGCGGCCACGACGGCAACGACCCGACGACGGCGGTGGTAAGGAAAATGACGGCGACGGCGCGACGACGACGACGGCGACGACGACGACGACGACGACGACGACGACGACGGACGACGACGGTGGCGGGCGACGGTGGCGGCGACGACGGACGACGCGACGACGGCGGCGGCGACGACGACGGACGCGCCGACGACGACGGCGGCGGAAAACGACGACGATGAGGCGGAGGCGACGACGACGACGAAAACGACTACGGAAACGACGGCACGGCGACGACGGGACGACGACGACGACGACGACGACGACGACGACGACGACGACGACGACGGCGGACGACGACGACGACGACGACGACGACGACGACGACGACGACGACGACGCGACGACGACGGTGGCGGTGACGACGGCGGCGGCGGCAGCGGCGACGACGGCGGCGGAGGCGACGCCGACGCCGACGCCGACGCCGACGCCGACGGCGGCGAAAACGACTACAGTGGCGGCGGAGGCGACGACGGCGACGACGGCGACAACGACTCCGAAGCAGCCGTCGCCGCAGCGGCGGCGGCGTCCGTGCTACAGAAGCCGCCGTGACGTTGTGGCGGCATCGGCGGCGACGGTGGTGGCAAGAACGACGGTGGCGGCGGCGAGCGCGACGACAGTGGCGGCGGTGACATCGGCGGCGCCAATGACGATAATGGCGGCCACGACGGCAACGACCCGACGACGACGGTGGTAACGAAAATGACGGCGGCGACGGCGGCGACGACGACGGCGACGACGACGACGGCGGCGGCGGCGGCGGCGACGGTGGCGGCGACGACGGCGGCGGCCGGTCCGCACAGCGCCCTGGCCTTCGTCCCCGTCGCCGTCCACGAGGTCGCCGTAGTCAGGCATGGCGCGTAGGGGCGCCTGGCGCCGGAATGGGAACCACCGGGCCTCCATTGTTGGTATCCTTGATTCTCCGTTTGCTTCCAAACTTCCCTCCTGTAAACGGTTCGCTTGGACATCGTGTCTGGATGGGCTGGTGGGGATGCGCAAAGCATCTGGAAGCCCACCAGCCTCTGAGTGCGTAGGTGTTCTAGTGCGCTTCCACTTCCAACCCTCTCTTTTTCAATTTTGGAATGGCTCATCAGTGTTCCCCATAATCATACACACCCTCCGCCACCCGACCGGCGACAAACCCGAGACAAAGGGCCCTCCCCGTCCCACCATCGTTTTGTTCATTTTCTGTTCACAAAAGTGGGCCACAAACAGTGCGTGCGTGTGCGATCCAGCAACATCGACTGAGCAATACTATATATGGACCAACCTATGTGATTGCAATATATACGGTGCAATCTGTGCTGTGCAAACGATATGGTGCAATTCTATGTTGTGCGAGATGGGTGGAGCAACCTATATGGTGCCATCTACGCGGTGCCACATATGCTGTGGAACCTATGTGGCGCAACAAAAGTAAAGCAATATACGCTGCGTTATCTATGTTGTGCCGCCTATGGTGTGAAACATCTGTGGTGCAATCTATGTGGTGCAACGTGTGTGGTGCACTCCCTGGTGTGCAGTCTATGTGGAACAATATTGGTGGAGCAACCGATGTGTTGCAATACAGATGAACAACATCTAATATATGATATATAGATACACCTATACATATAGACAGATACATACACTAGAACCATCGCGCGCGCAAGTTCTAGCTAGGCTGGATGGTCAACTCTTGGGGATCTCTACTCCATGACACTTTCTCTCCAGGGCTTCCAAGAATCACGAAAACGGCTCAAGTAGCTTCCAAGACTTCCTACGGTCCACCCACGACGGCTTAAGACAGGCCCAGCAGGCACTTCGGGGGCCCTTTTATTCGCCGCGGTTAGACGTCCGGAGGCAGAGAAAGAGGAGAAGGGGAGGTGAAGGGGTCCCCTAGGGGAGGAGAAGGAGGATGAGGAGTTAAAGAGGGTGGAGGAGGCCGCAGAGGAGGAGGAACCGGAGGAGCAGAAAGAGGAGGAGGAGGAAATATAATTATCCTCTTTTGCAAGCGTAGCGAAGCTGCGGCGAACTTCGAAAAAGAAAGGTTTGAATTTCCGTTTTCCTCAAGTGCCCTCGAGGCCTATCTCGGGGCGCTGTTGGGCTTGGGGACCTCTTAAAGCATCTGGGGGGCATCCTGGGGCGAAGATCTCGAGATCTCGGTTCAATTTCCCGATACTGGGCCGCGGTTGCGGCCCTTTCGGACCGTCTTGGACATCTCTTCGGCGCTTTTGAAGCCTATGGGACCGTCTTGGGGCGCTTTTGAAGCCTATCGCGCCGTCTTGGGGCGATCCTCGGAGCCTCTTGGGGCGTTTTGCAGCGTCGGGAAGCGGAACAGACGGAAACGCCAAAACTGTTCAAAAACCTATGGAACATACATGTTCGAGCTCTGCTGGGAGACCTCTTGGGAGCCTCTTGGGTATCTTGGGGGCCTCTTGGGCCGCCTGGAGGCCGTCTTGGGGGTCTTGGACCATCTAGTGGCCTTCGGCCCATCCCGCCACCGTGCCTGGGTATGTGTTAGAGACCTCTTGGAAGTTCGTTTGGAATTCGTGGGAGGCTTCCCGAGGGCCTCTTGAAGGCAATTTTGGAGGCCTCTTGGGGGCCGTTTGGGTGTTCTTGGGGCGTATGTTTGGGCCTCTTTGGGGCCTCGTGGGGCCTCTAGGGGACCTCTTGGGCTCTGTAGGGGGCCTCTTGGGGCCTCCTGAGGGCCTCTTGGGGCGGAAGGCTCGAATTGTCGGTTCGTGTTCCCTCTCTCTTAGGCCCCTCTTGGGGCCGTCTTGGGGCCCTCTTGGGCGATCTTGGGCGCCTCTTGGGCCGTCTCGGGGCACTTGTGTGCCGTCTTGGGGCTCTCTTGCGCCATTGTGGGGCCCTCCTTGGGTGCCTCTTGGGCCGTCTTGAGCTGACTTCTGGGGCCTCGTGGGCTGGCTTGGACCGTCAGAAACACAAAAAAAACAGAAACGCGAAAAACTGTCAAAAAGCGTGGAAAACGGAAATCTACTTGATTCGCCTTCCGAGTGCCTCGTGGGAGTCCTTTTGAAGGCACCTTGGCCGTCTTGAATCCCTCTTGGGCTGTCTTCAAGCCATGTTGGACAAATTGTCAAACGCGCTTCTGCGGTCGTCGGCCTCTCTTGGAGCGCTCTTGAGCCATCTTGGCGCCCTCTTGGACGTGTCTCGGGCCCTCTCGTCGCCCCCCTCCTTTGACGCATTCTGGCACCCCGGCCGGGTCCAAAACGGCCGGAAGACAAATCAGTGCACCCCTCGGCCCCCAGGACCCCTCCCCATTCATATATGTGTATATATACAAATACATATACATATACATATACAAATATACATATATACTGATATATATATATATATATACTCGCAGCGTGCTGCATCGAAACGCGGGCTACTCGTGGGGGAAAGCGTTTGCGTGCACATGTGCACGTGCATGTGCATGCGCACGTGTTTGCTCATACGCATGCGCATGTGCAAACATGTCTGTATGCTGATACATGAGCACGAGCTCGGTGTACAAATGTCGGCGTATAGGTCAGAGCCACCATGGAACAACTTGGAAACTATGTCGATGCTGCCCTAGAACGGTGGCGGGACTTGCCCTGAGAGTTGGTGCATACATTCTTATAAAAGCATAACGACATAGAGAGAGGGGTGGGGGTATAGGGAGAGCAGCAACTGCAGCAGGAGCGGATGGAGCAGGCGGATACGCATGGAGGGTAGTGAAGAGGACTCAGAAAACTTGGACTCTGCATTTGGACTTGGAGGTCGCCGGTGCAAGTACGGGGGAGAGGAGCGGCAACAGGAACAGAAGCAGAAGACCAAGAGCTGAACATGGAGGAGGGTGGAAGGTACAGCGGAAGACGGAAGAGGGGACTGGAGGAGAGGAGGAAGCCGAGCAGCATCAGGCATGAGTTTTGACTGCATGGATGCCAGCCTACCCCATCAGTAATCGCCTGGGCCCTCGCTGGAATCAGCGCCGCAAACCACGATGCGGCCACATTCTTCATGCTGTACTGAAGACGTGGCATCAAAGTCTACAAGAGGAGCAGGGCTGGGAAGGCGGCAAGTCAAATCCACCGCCGAACACTGTTCATCGCAGGGGCGAGTCAGTGTACAGCTCCCAGTCACCCCACGCAGATCCTGTCAAGCCGTCCTGGTAGAACATGCCAATAATTGCCATCATCGCCAGCCGTCCATTCGCAATCTCGGCATTCAGCTTGCGGGACTTGAGCTCCCCAGCAGGCAAAGTACTGCCGTTGGGAACGCCCAGCACGCCACCGTTCTCATAGTCACCCGGGGCCCTCGACGGGTCGTACACGAACAAGCCCTTCTCAAGCAAACCGCAGAAGAGGAAGATCTGGACCCACCCCGCGCCTGGAACCTTGGATAGCGCTGCGAGACCATTCGGGATGTCTGCAAACTGGAGGCCCTTGGACGGAGAGCAATAGCCTGGCCACTTGAAGTACTCGGGAGTGATGTAGCCCATACACGCCCACATGGACACACGCCCGTGCTTAATCTCAGTGACGCGGCGCCTCTTGAAGGCCTCAGTGTCGCCGTCCTTGCTCAAGCCGGCAGGGTCCCAATAACCGAAAGGAGCCTGCACGCCCAGCTCGCTCTCGAACGCGCGCAGCGGGGATCCAGTGTAGAGCGCCCAGTCGCCCCATGCGCTGCCAGTCAGACCATCCTGGAAGAACATCCCGATGATTGCCATCATGGCAAGGCGACCGTTGGCGATCTCTGCCGCCAACTTCTTTTGTTTCTCCCCAGCATCACTGGACGTCAGCACCTTGAAGCCGAAATCGCCTGCGGCGGCAGCGGTGCCAGCGGACTGGTCCTGGGACAGCTCGCAGAACGCGCCGTACGCCACGATCTGCGCCCAGCCCGCCGCGGGAACCTTGGAGATCGCCCCGAGCCCGTTCGGGATGTCCGCGAACTTCAGGCCCGCCGAAGGCGACAAATAGCCAGGCAGCTTGCCGGTGATCTCGGGCGTGATGTAACCCATCGTCGCCAGCATGCTCACGCGGCCATGCTTGAGCTCTGTCTGACGCCTCCTGGCGAAATTCACCGTGCTACCATCCGCTGTGAACCCGGCAGGGTCCCAAAAGCCCACGGGGTCCTGCACGCCCAGCTCGCTCTCGAACGCGCGCAGCGGGGATCCAGTGTAGAGCGCCCAGTCGCCCCACGCGGAGCCGGTCAAGCCGTCCTGGAAGAACATTCCGATGATTGCCATCATGGCAAGGCGACCGTTGGCGATCTCTGCCGCCAACTTCTTCTGCTTCTCCCCGGCATCACTGGACGTCAGCACCTTGAAGCCGAAGTCGCCCGCCGCGGCAGCGGTGCCAGCGGACTGGTCCTGGGACAGCTCGCAGAACGCGCCGTACGCCACGATCTGCGCCCAGCCCGCCGCGGGAACCTGGAGATCGCCCCGAGCCCGTTCGGGATGTCCGCGAACTTCAGGCCCGCCGAAGGCGACAAGTAGCCAGGCAGCTTGCCGGTGATCTCGGGCGTGATGTAACCCATCGTCGCCAGCATGCTCACGCGGCCGTGCTTGAGCTCTGTCTGGCGCCTCCTGGCGAAATTCACCGTGCTACCATCCGCTGTGAACCCGGCAGGGTCCCAAAAGCCACTGGGTCCTGCACGCCCAGCTCGCTCTCGAACGCGCGCAGCGGGGATCCAGTGTAGAGCGCCCAGTCGCCCCATGCGCTGCCAGTCAGACCATCCTGGAAGAACATCCCGATGATTGCCATCATGGCAAGGCGACCGTTGGCGATCTCTGCCGCCAACTTCTTCTGCTTCTCCCCGGCATCACTGGACGTCAGCACCTTGAAGCCGAAGTCGCCTGCGGCGGCAGCGGTGCCAGCGGACTGGTCCTGGACAGCTCGCAGAACGCGCCGTACGCCACGATCTGCGCCCAGCCCGCCGCGGGAACCTTGGAGATCGCCCCGAGCCCGTTCGGGATGTCCGCGAACTTCAGGCCAGCCGAAGGCGACAAGTAGCCGGGCAGCTTGCCGGTGATCTCGGGCGTGATGTAACCCATCGTCGCCAGCATGCTCACGCGGCCGTGCTTGAGCTCTGTCTGGCGCCTCCTGGCGAAATTCGCCGTGCTACCATCCGCTGTGAACCCGGCAGGGTCCCAAAAGCCCACGGGGTCCTGCACGCCCAGCTCGCTCTCGAATGCGCGCGCAGCGGGGATCCAGTGTAGAGCGCCCAGTCGCCCCATGCGGAGCCGGTCAAGCCGTCCTGGAAAAACATCCCGATGATAGCCATCATGGCAAGGCGACCGTTGGCGATCTCTGCCGCCAATTTCTTCTGCTTCTCCCCGGCATCACTGGACGTCAGCACCTTGAAGCCGAAGTCGCCTGCGGCGGCAGCGGTGCCAGCGGACTGGTCCTGGGACAGCTCGCAGAACGCGCCGTACGCCACGATCTGCGCCCAGCCCGCCGCGGGAACCTTGGAGATCGCCCCGAGCCCGTTCGGGATGTCCGCGAACTTCAGGCCAGCCGAAGGCGACAAGTAGCCGGGCAGCTTGCCGGTGATCTCGGGAGTGATGTAACCCATCGTCGCCAGCATGCTCACGCGGCCGTGCTTGAGCTCTGTCTGACGCCTCCTGGCGAAATTCGCCGTGTTACCATCCGCTGTGAACCCGGCAGGGTCCCAAAAGCCCACGGGGTCCTGCACGCCCAGCTCGCTCTCGAACGCGCGCAGCGGGGATCCAGTGTAGAGCGCCCAGTCGCCCCACGCGGAGCCGGTCAAGCCGTCCTGGAAGAACATTCCGATGATTGCCATCATGGCAAGGCGACCGTTGGCGATCTCTGCCGCCAACTTCTTCTGCTTCTCCCCGGCATCACTGGACGTCAGCACCTTGAAGCCGAAGTCGCCTGCGGCGGCAGCGGTGCCAGCGGACTGGTCCTGGGACAGCTCGCAGAACGCGCCGTACGCCACGATCTGCGCCCAGCCCGCCGCGGGAACCTTGGAGATCGCCCCGAGCCCGTTCGGGATGTCCGCGAACTTCAGGCCAGCCGAAGGCGACAAGTAGCCGGGCAGCTTGCCGGTGATCTCGGGCGTGATGTAACCCATCGTCGCCAGCATGCTCACGCGGCCGTGCTTGAGCTCTGTCTGGCGCCTCCTGGCGAAATTCGCCGTGCTACCATCCGCTGTGAACCCGGCAGGGTCCCAAAAGCCCACGGGGTCCTGCACGCCCAGCTCGCTCTCGAACGCGCGCAGCGGGGATCCAGTGTAGAGCGCCCAGTCGCCCCACGCGGAGCCGGTCAAGCCGTCCTGGAAGAACATTCCAATGATTGCCATCATGGCAAGGCGACCGTTGGCGATCTCTGCCGCCAACTTCTTCTGCTTCTCCCCGGCATCACTGGACGTCAGCACCTTGAAGCCGAAGTCGCCTGCGGCGGCAGCGGTGCCAGCGGACTGGTCCTGGGACAGCTCGCAGAACGCGCCGTACGCCACGATCTGCGCCCAGCCCGCCGCGGGAACCTTGGAGATCGCCCCGAGCCCGTTCGGGATGTCCGCGAACTTCAGGCCAGCCGAAGGCGACAAGTAGCCGGGCAGCTTGCCGGTGATCTCGGGCGTGATGTAACCCATCGTCGCCAGCATGCTCACGCGGCCGTGCTTGAGCTCTGTCTGGCGCCTCCTGGCGAAATTCGCCGTGCTACCATCCGCTGTGAACCCGGCAGGGTCCCAAAAGCCCACGGGGTCCTGCACGCCAGCTCGCTCTCGAACGCGCGCGCGGGGATCCAGTGTTGAGCGCCCAGTCGCCCCACGCGGAGCCGGTCAAGCCGTCCTGGAAGAACATTCCGATGATTGCCATCATGGCAAGGCGACCGTTGGCGATCTCTGCCGCCAACTTCTTCTGCTTCTCCCCGGCATCACTGGACGTCAGCACCTTGAAGCCGAAGTCGCCTGCGGCGGCAGCGGTGCCAGCGGACTGGTCCTGGGACAGCTCGCAGAACGCGCCGTACGCCACGATCTGCGCCCAGCCCGCCGCGGGAACCTTGGAGATCGCGCCGAGCCCGTTCGGGATGTCCGCGAACTTCAGGCCAGCCGAAGGCGACAAGTAGCCGGGCAGCTTGCCGGTGATCTCGGGCGTGATGTAACCCATCGTCGCCAGCATGCTCACGCGGCCGTGCTTGAGCTCTGTCTGGCGCCTCCTGGCGAAATTCGCCGTGCTACCATCCGCTGTGAACCCGGCAGGGTCCCAAAAGCCCACGGGGTCCTGCACGCCCAGCTCGCTCTCGAACGCGCGCAGCGGGGATCCAGTGTAGAGCGCCCAGTCGCCCCCCCAGGCGGAGCCGTCAAACCGTCCTGGAAGAACATGCCGATGATTGCCATCATGGCAAGCGACCATTGGCGATCTCTGCCGCCAACTTCTTCTGCTTCTCCCCGGCATCATGGACGTCAGCACCTTGAAGCCGAAGTCGCCTGCGGCGGCAGCGGTGCCAGCGGACTGGTCCTGGGACAGCTCGCAGAACGCGCCGTACGCCACGATCTGCGCCCAGCCCGCCGCGGGAACCTTGGAGATCGCGCCGAGCCGTTCGGGATGTCCGCGAACTTCAGGCCAGCCGAAGGCGACAAGTAGCCGGGCAGCTTGCCGGTGATCTCGGGCGTGATGTAACCCATCGTCGCCAGCATGCTCACGCGGCCGTGCTTGAGCTCTGTCTGGCGCCTCCTGGCGAAATTCGCCGTGCTACCATCCGCTGTGAACCCAGCAGGGTCCCAAAAGCCCACGGGGTCCTGCACGCCCAGCTCGCTCTCGAACGCGCGCAGCGGGGATCCAGTGTAGAGCGCCCAGTCGCCCCACGCGGAGCCGGTCAAGCCGTCCTGGAAGAACATTCCGATGATTGCCATCATGGCAAGGCGACCGTTGGCGATCTCTGCCGCCAACTTCTTCTGCTTCTCCCCGGCATCACTGGACGTCAGCACCTTGAAGCCGAAGTCGCCGCGGCGGCAGCGGTGCCAGCGGACTGGTCCTGGGACAGCTCGCAGAACGCGCCGTACGCCACGATCTGCGCCCAGCCCGCCGCGGGAACCTTGGAGATCGCGCCGAGCCGTTCGGGTGTCCGCGAACTTCAGGCCAGCCGAAGGCGACAAGTAGCCGGGCAGCTTGCCGGTGATCTCGGGCGTGATGTACCCATCGTCGCAGCATGCTCACGCGGCCGTGCTTGAGCTCTGTCTGGCGCCTCCTGGCGAAATTCGCCGTGCTACCATCCGCTGTGAACCCAGCAGGGTCCCAAAAGCCCACGGGGTCCTGCACGCCCAGCTCGCTCTCGAACGCGCGCAGCGGGGATCCAGTGTAGAGCGCCCAGTCGCCCCACGCGGAGCCGGTCAAGCCGTCCTGGAAGAACATTCCGATGATTGCCATCATGGCCAGGCGACCGTTGGCGATCTCTGCCGCCAACTTCTTCTGCTTCTCCCCGGCATCACTGGACGTCAGCACCTTGAAGCCGAAGTCGCCTGCGGCGGCAGCGGTGCCAGCGGACTGGTCCTGGGACAGCTCGCAGAAAGCGCCGTACGCCACGATCTGCGCCCAGCCCGCCGCGGGAACCTTGGAGATCGCGCCGAGCCCGTTCGGGATGTCCGCGAACTTCAGGCCAGCCGAAGGCGACAAGTAGCCGGGCAGCTTGCCGGTGATCTCGGGCGTGATGTAACCCATCGTCGCCAGCATGCTCACGCGGCCGTGCTTGAGCTCTGTCTGGCGCCTCCTGGCGAAATTCGCCGTGCTACCATCCGCTGTGAACCCAGCAGGGTCCCAAAAGCCCACGGGGTCCTGCACGCCCAGCTCGCTCTCGAACGCGCGCAGCGGGGATCCAGTGTAGAGCGCCCAGTCGCCCCACGCGGAGCCGGTCAAGCCGTCCTGGAAAAACATTCCGATGATAGCCATCATGGCAAGGCGACCGTTGGCGATCTCTGCCGCCAACTTCTTCTGCTTCTCCCCGGCATCACTGGACGTCAGCACCTTGAAGCCGAAGTCGCCTGCGGCGGCAGCGGTGCCAGCGGACTGGTCCTGGGACAGCTCGCAGAACGCGCCGTACGCCACGATCTGCGCCCAGCCCGCCGCGGGAACCTTGGAGATCGCCCCGAGCCCGTTCGGGATGTCCGCGAACTTCAGGCCAGCCGAAGGCGACAAGTAGCCGGGCAGCTTGCCGGTGATCTCGGGCGTGATGTAACCCATCGTCGCCAGCATGCTCACGCGGCCGTGCTTGAGCTCTGTCTGGCGCCTCCTGGCGAAATTCGCCGTGCTACCATCCGCTGTGAACCCAGCAGGGTCCCAAAAGCCCACGGGGTCCTGCACGCCCAGCTCGCTCTCGAAAGCCGCCATCACTACTCTGTGCTGCGCGGGACCCTGCGGTCGCGCCTTCCTGGCGGCGTTGGACAGCGCACCCCTGGTGAGCAGGGCGAGGGCCACGGACGCCCCGATCATTGTCAGGCCGACTCCGACGGGCGCCACCGACTGAGACGCGGGCGCCGCGCCAGGCGCCGCGGACACCGTGGTCGGCTCCGTGTGGCCATCAAGCCCACGCTGGCCGAGAGGCGCCGCCACGAAGGCATTGCCCAGCTGGCAGACCACCAGTCCAGCGACGAAGGCGGCCACGAACGCGGCGATGCTGGAGTGCGCCATTGTTTCTTGGTTGAAGAAGGGAGTTCGGATTGATTGGGAAGGTGGTGGGAGCTGTTAACGCCCAGTTATAAAAAAGTACCTCGGGCCAAAAAAGGCTCCAGAGGTCAGGGGGGGCAGGAAAAGGCTGAATCGAAACCTGTCGAGACACACTGACTGTGAACAACAGGCGGCAAGCGCCCTCCCCTTGAGGGCACGAGGTCGCCGGCCTGTCCTGTTTTGTGGCCCTCTTGGGGCGCGCTTGGCCTCCACAAGGACTCTCGTCAGCCCCTTGGAACCATCTTAGGGCCCCTGGGAGCCTTATGGCACGTTTTGGGATGCGCCTGTGTGACATTTTGGGGGGCGGTGGACTTGGGGGCTGCCTTGGGGCAGTCTTGGACCGTCTCGGAGCCGTGGCGGGGCCGTGTTGGAGGCTTGGAAGCAAGTTTGGACCATCTCGGGGGCGTCTTGGTCCCCAGTGCGGGCTCTAATTGGCTTCCCGGGTCCTGTTGGGAACATCTGGGGCCCCTCCTGGAACCATCTGGATGGAGCTGAGAGGTTGGAGAATCGCGAACACGCACGAAAACACAAAAAAACATCGAAAAGATTCGACTCTCGGGGGCCTTGCGCTGGCCCATCTTACGCACATCGGGGCCACCTTGGAACTTTGGGGTGGTTTGGACGATCTTGGGGGTTCCTGGTCGGCAGCCTGGGACGTCTCGCTGGCGCCCTGCGACGCTATCGTGGTGACCTCTTTGCGCCCTCGAGGGCTACGTTGACGCCTCTCCGATGTTTTCGGGCTGAAAGGCCACCGAAAAGGCCACCGACGTGGCCGAAGCAGGGCGGGTCAGCTCCAGGGGTATGGCGGCTTCACACAGCGTAAGGAACCTTTCGGCGGCGAGCCCAGGGGGAAGTGATAAGGGCCGGGCCTTCTCAAAGGCTCGGAAGTTCCCCGGCCTTCTGAGAGGTTTTCTGAGAGGGCCTTCTCCTTCTCACTTCCACCCCTCGCTCGCCGCCGAACCTCACGACAGCTCCAAGACGGCCAAGGAACATCCGAAGACGAGCCAGAGGAGGCCCAGCGCAGGACTGGCCCAAGGCAGACCCCAGACGCCCGCTAGACGGCCCAAGTCCCTCCGGATCCGTCGCAAGCCCCCCTGGAATGTAGCCAAAAACTCCCAGATGGCCCGAAGATCCTCAGCGGGCTCCCGAAGCACCTCAAATACCACGAACCTGTTCAGGGCAACCGCCAGCTCCTCCGAGTCCGCCACAAGTTTCAATGGCACTGCCGCAAGCTGGCACAACGCTGCCTTCAGTGACGCACAGCCCAGACCAGATGGTGCCCAGATCAGAACATGACGGATCATACTCTCAGGCTCCATCGCCAGCAAATGGGCCTTCTCCTGCACCAGCAGCACAAAAGGTCAGAGCAATCGTTCTTTCGAAACGTGATTGCTCACGCGTTCCCGGTTTCACGCCGACTGGAGACGAACTGCCAGCGATGCCCAATACACCAACTCCCATGAGCAATATACTGACACAGCCACATCCTCGGACACGTGCGAATACAACGGCGAATGGCGACTACGGCAGCATCCATGGAATGGCCTAATGGCACGGTTCCTGACCACAGTCGATAATCTAAGACAAGTCTGATAGGATATTTCCCCTAGCGAAGACTGCATTTGTATGGCCTGCCCCTCCGAAGTCATACACCGACATGTAAGGCCACATCTCCAGCAAGAAGTGGGAGCAACGTCCGTACAGAGACACTGTTGGATATCTGGGGGCGCGCGAAAAGAAAAAAATATATATATATTATTTCCTCGTCTCCAGACGCAGTTGGACATGGCCAGACAGCCGCTCCAACTTCCAGATCGAGGGCCACTACTACGCTTGGAACATCCACCCCCGACACCAGTGGTGAAGCAGCAACGGCAAGATGAGCAGCGAAATCGAATTGGCTCGTCAAGGTATCCCATCCTTCAACATCTTCGCTGCAGACATACGCTCAAGAGATGGCACACATTCCAGAAACTGAGGGTGATACCATCGAGCATCTACCTGGATCTCTGGACACGACTATTGAATATCCGCCGGGAGCCTTGGACGAGACCAACGAGTAACAACCAAATTCTCTGGACACGACTCTTGAGTTTCCACCTGAAGCAATTGAAGAAACATCGCCAAATCCAGAAAGTCCAGAGGTTGCCCAGGTTGGACACCCAACGTGGCGCCAATATCAGATGAGAGAAAAGAGGGCGAGGCAACAACCAGAGTCAGGATGCTGATATGCGGACAAAGCTTCCTGGTTCAGCGTCCAAGAGTGCATGTGCAGCCCCCTCCTGCATCTGCACTCTCACATGGGTTTGGACGATGACTTTGGGACCGTGAAGCGTTCGACAATCGAAGGCGCTCGAATTGCGAAGGCGTCACGACCGGAGATTGACACTACGACGAAGGCGGAATCAGTCAGCATCGAATCGGTAAATCACATCGAATCGGAATACAAATCGGATCGGGCTGTATCATCACGGACTCGAAACCGAGTCGGATCGACTGCGCCAAGATGCACAACAGCACAGTGTGAACCTCGGGCCGCATCCGATCGCCAGAACATCGAAATCTAATCGGACAGGGCTCGAGCTAAACGGTGTTTCTCGTGTTCGTTATCTTTCCGTCGTCCTTCGTTCTATCTTCGTTCTACCTGTGCTGCAAAACGAGATCGAAACGAAAACGGTCCACGAAATCGCCCAAACACCGTTTAGCTCAAGCCCTGGAATCGCATCGGGCCGGCCGGAGTCGGGGATCTCCTGACCCGGGTCAATCCAGACCCGGGTCAGTCAGGAGTGCGAGATCCTGCAAAACCCCTGCAAGATCCTGCACCCAAACCCGGGTCAATGCGAAGGATCCTGCAGGATCCTGCAAGCTCCTGCACCCAAACCCGGGTCAATGCGACCCTGGCCCCGCAGGATCCTGCAAGATCGGGCGCTCTGGCCGACCCCCGCTTGCATTGACCCCCGTCTCGAGGCTCCCGACGGAGTCGGCATGGAATCGGACCGGTCGGATCGAAATGGACCCTGCAAAGGCGGCGGCGGCGGCGGCGGCGACAAGGACCAGGGCGACGGCGGCTAGCTGCGGCGGCGGCGGCCGTTGCTGGCGGGGCACGGCGGCGGAGGCCTCCGGCTTCGGAGGCGCGGGCGCGTCCCCGCCGTAGTCGACCTCCTCCTGCTCGTCCTCGGCCTGCGCGGCGTGTCGGGGGCGGGGGAGGGAGGGGGGGAAGGGAGGGGGGAGGGGGGGCGGGAAGGAGAGGGGAAGGGCGAGGAGGAGGGAGGTGGGTACACGAGGAGGAGGAGGAGGAGGAGGAGGAGGAGGAGGAGGAGGAGGAGATACTCCATACTCAAGACTCAAGACGTGGCGTGGCGCGCGCGTGGGAACAAGACCCCCCCGACAACAAAAAACGACTGGGAGGAGGAGGAGTACTCTAGAATGCGATCACTCCGATGCTTCTTCACATGTTCGTCCTCTGCGCGACCCCACTGTAGTGCGCAGGGGCGCCCTTGAGCTTCGGCCTAAAGCCGAGCCGAACGATGCAACTGCTGCGAGCAAGGAGGAGGAGGAGGAGGAGGGGAGGAAGAAATGAGGATGGAAAGGGGAGACGCGAGGAGAATGATATGGAGAAGGAGGACGACCCAAAGGTCTCATCGCCACCACCATCATAAACACAGGAAGCATCATCATCATCATCATCATCATCATCATCATCATCATCATCAACAACAGCAGCAGCAGCATCATCAGCATCAGCATCGTCATCATCACAACCACCACAACCACCACCACCACCACTACCACCACCACCACCACCACCACCATCATCATCATCATCATCATCATCATCATATGATGCAGCAGCATCACCACCACCACCACCACCATCGCATCATCGTCATCATCAGCAGCAGCATGATCGTCTTCCTCATCAGAATAATCAGCATCATCATAAGAATCATCAGCATCATCATCAGCCGCAGCAGCAGCCTCATCATCCTCATCATCCCCGTCTTCGTTTTCAGCATCGTCCTCGCCAACATCATCGTCATCTTCATTATCATCACCATCATCCTCATCCTCATCATCGTCATCGTCATCCTCGTCGGCGTCGACACTATCATCATCAGCAACATCATCGACACTCTTCACCATCAGCATCAACAATATCATCGTCGCCATAATCATCAGATTCACCATCATCATATGCACCATGGTCATCATCATCAGCAGCAGCACCATCATCATCGCCATCGTGATCACAGCAACAATCGCGATCATCATCCACCACCATCATCATCATCAGCAGCATCATCATCAGCAGCAGCCGTATCACCAGCAGCAGCACCATCCTCATCATCCTCATCAGCATAATCATCATCATCGTCGTCATCAACATCACCAGCATCATCATCATCACAGCCATAGCGATCACAGCCACAATCGCAATCACCACCATCTGCTATCCTTCTCATCAGCAGCATCATCATCAGCATCATGACCATCATCATCAGCAGCATCACCATCAGCAACAGCATCAGCTGCAACATCAGCGACACCATCATCATCAGCGTCATCACATCATCATAGGTCGGCTGCTGCTGGAGAAAAGGCCTCCCCACAGCTCGGCATGCTCATCTGATGCGTCTTACCTTCTCCCTCCCTCCTTCCCTCCCTCCCTGCATGTGTAGATGCACGACGGCCGCAGCGGGGGCAACGTGCCTTTGAATTCTTGTAAACGCGGAGCCAGTGGGTACGACTAACCCACGCCCTCCGCTGGAGGGCGCCCCATCGTGTGCCAATCGGGTGGGGGAGCTCGGAAGCTCTAGGCGTGAGACTCCGGCTCGGCTTCCTTGGAGCTCACCCTCTCGTGCCACGTCCTTCGGGAGCGGGCGCGGGATTTCTGGACCCCCCCTGGGCGGCATGGCTGGGAGGGCGGTCGGGCCTCTGGCTCCTTCCCTCGCGGCCCCGTCTGGGGGGGCAGGCTGGGGCTGCCCCTGGCCCAGGCGACCCGGATCAGGTGCCGCACACCTGGCCGGGCCCCGAACCCTGGAGACTTTTCACGGACCCATCCTCACGTGTCGGAGCAAGATGCGTGCAGAAATGGGAAGTGCAACGCTCGTGGACGAGACGTGTCGTGCGTGCGATGGATTTGCGAATCATGTCTGTTGTGCGCAAATGGGATACCTCGGAGCAGGAGTAGGCGGCATTTGACAGGATTGTAACCACACCGTCGGACGGCGGGTGGGCGGGCAGCAGCGTCTTCCATTGTCTTTTGTCCCTCCTCGCCCCGTCCCCCTGGTGTCCTCTCCCTGGTTGGCGACCAGGACGGCTAGTGCGCCTAAATGGCTCAAATGACGGTGTCACCGCTGTGCCGGCCAACGTCCAACACTTCCGTCTGAGCTGAGATGGGTTAGCGCGGGGCGGTTGGCGACGGTATTAGCGCTGCTGTCCTCCACTCCAGGTCGGTCCCTTCTTCGGTCCCTCGCTCAGCCTACTGGTTTTCCCCCGCCTCGCCTCATCCACAGTTTTTGTGTCGGCGGTTCAAAGATCGGGTCCTGAGGGATGGGGTCGTAAGGACGAGGTGCATTCAACAATGTAAATCAACCCTCGGATCCCTTCCTATCCTTAGGATTCCATCCCTCAGAACCCCATCATTGAACCACCGTTTCTGTGTGCGTGTGTTTTTCAACTACGTCTTGCTGGCCCGCTGGTCGTTCGCGGCCTCACGGCGGAGGACGAGAACGAGGGCGAGGCAGGTGCACACAGGCCTCAGGAGGACAAACCACCCTCCTGGGTGTGTGCGGGTACGGCCCGCTGATGGTTAAAGCCCTCCTGCCCCTTCTCCAACTCATCATCCGTTCCCCCTCCTCCCCCATCTCCCTCCCCCCTTGAGGCGAATAGCCTATCATGGCGGCCCGCAACCCCTCTGCCAGGCAGAAGTGGCGAAGCCACCGATCAACGGTGTTTGGCCCCGCGCTTCGTCACAGTTGAGGGCGGTACCGACTGAAAGAAAAAGTCCTCCAGCTCTGTCCCCATTGAGGGGAAACTTTAGGGGGTGGACAGCTGGGGGGAAACATCGACGGGAGATACATCGCCGATGAATATGAGGTAAGCCCCCGATAGCCACACCTCTCGTTCATGGGCGGAGTGGGCTATCAGGCCCCATATCGGCGATGAATAGGTAATTCGGTGGGTCGATGCATCCCCCCCTGAGCCTGACGCCACCCCCGAATTTGCTCCTGACCTAACCTCCTGCTCCCATCCTCGCCTTGAAAGGACAGGCGGACAAGCAGTCTGCAGCCAAGGTGCCGCGGGGGCACTGCAGTGGAGACTGCCCTGCAGCAGAATGACAGGAGACCTGTAAAACTTCGCCGTGGGAACACAAACATTGCGGCGAAACAAACCTCGTCCTACCGCTGTTACTCCCCCTCCACCATCTTCCCTCCTCCTCCTCCTCCTCCTCCTCCTCCTCCTCCTCCTCCTCCTCCTACTCCACAATTACACAATATGAAAATACTCTCCCACTTCCCCTGATGGCGTCCCGAAGATGGCCGACCCCCCCCCCCGCGTACTGTTTTTTTACACACAGGATTCCCGGGAAACGGGTTTTCGCCTGCGTTTTTTTCAAAATGCTGCTCTCGCTGAGGCGCCGGCCTCATTTCTGCTCCCGAATCGTTCCGAATCGTGCTCCCGCTGCAGCGTGGGCCTCATTTTCGGATCGGTGTTTGGCCTCCGTCGTTCAGGATGGCGTTCTCGCCCCAGCGCGGGCCTCTTTCTCGCGCGCCCATCCGCCCGCCACCACCGCGCCGCACCACCACCACCACCACCACCACCACCACCACCACCACCATACCACCACCACCACCACCACCACCAACCACCACCACCACCACCACCACCACCACCACCACCACCCACAACCACGCACACACGCACGCACGCACGCACGCGCACCACCACCCACTACGCACGCGCGCGCGGAGCCACAGGTCCGCTACGACACGCGTCCGCGGATAGAAAATCAGCGCCATGGTAAGGGATGGGAGGGAGGGGTAGGACGTCAGATATGACGCGAGAGCACCTAGCTTGTCCTCCTCCTCCTCCTCCTCCTCCTCCTCCTCCTCCTCCGCCCCCATCTTACTGCTCCACTCTCCCTCCCTCCCTTTCCCCCTCCCTCCCAACCCTCCTCCTTCTCCCAGGTCCTCCTCACTCCTCCTCTCCTCCCCACTCTTTCCTCTCCTCCGCCTCCTCCTCCTCCTCCTCCTCCTCCTCCTCCTCCTCCTCCTCCTCCTCCTCCTCCTCCTCCTCCTCCACCCCCCCATGAGGGCCTTGGCGGCCGCCGCGGGCGGAGGCGCCGCTGGCTTCCCATCCTGCCGAATCGGGGGGAGGCGGAGGCAGAGGCGGAGCGGGAGGGGGACGGAGCTGAGCTGACAGAGGCGGCGAAGGGACCGCGAAGGGACCACGGAGGGACCACGAAAAGACCACCACGGGACCACACGGGGACTCACGGAGGTGCCAGAGAGGGACCACGGGAAACCACGGGCTACCACGCAGGGAGGCCACGGGAGCCGGGTGGCGACATCCGCACCCCCAGAGGTCCGGACACCTTCCCCGAGGCCGGCTTCTCGTCCCGAGTCGCTCCTTGACGGCCCCCGCGGGCCCAGCGATGGCCCCCGAGGGCCGAAGCCTGCCAAAAGCCTCCCGTCGCAATGGTCCCGCAACGGGAGGAGAGGTGGGCAGGTGGCGACATCCGAACCCTACCCCCACCAACCATGGCAGCCATCGCTTCTTCTTCTGAATCGACGGAGGGCGGGGGGGGCGAGGAGGAGGAGGAGGAGGAGGAGGAGGAGGAGGAGGAAGAGGAGGAGGAGGAGGAGGAGGAGGAGGAGAGGAGGGGGAAGGAGCAGGAGGGGGAGGAGGACCAATGCAAACCCAAGACTCATCAACGATGTTGAAATTCACCCTCCCTCCAAGATCCCTGTTCATAGGCCCCTACAAGAAGACATCTCCACTAAGAGAATTGCCCCGTTGGGGGACAACCGTGTGAACATCTTGAAGCGTACCGAATCACAACTATCAGGACGTCATCTCCAAAAACTACCTTGACAGTTGCGCCTTGGCGATCCTGAATCGCGCCAGAACACCATTCATGATACTTCAACGCCGCGAATCAACGTAGGTGTTGCGCCCTGACAATCCCGAACCGCTCAGAAAGATGATTCCTGGTACGTTGACCATAAAAATCCGTGACTTTTTCATATGTGATTTGAAAACCACCCGCTATCAATCTGGAAAATCTTGCAAATCATAAAACGAAGGTACGCGGCACTGAGGCGAGAACCACATCTTGAAAACGAACCGCCTTCAATCCGTGAAACTCTTGCTGATGCTCAAAACCAATGTGCGCGACGCTGAGGCGAGAGCCACATTTTAAAACGAACCACCCTCAATATGTGAAGCTCTTGCAAATGCTCAAGACGAGTATGCGCGGCGCTGAGGCGAGAGCCACAGTTTGGAAGCGACTCGCCCTCCATCTGTGAAACTGCTGTCAAATTGTAAGCATCAAGGTCATAAATGACATCAGACGAAACGCTGGGCCCGCACTTCCGATTGGCCTCGGGGTGCGACAGGGAGGAGCTATCTATAAAGGACAGGACTGGAGGTGAGGAGGAGGAGGAAGGAGAAGGGAAGGAGGAATGAGGGATGCGAAACCAGAATGAGGCATGAGGAATGAGGAGGAGGAGGAGGAGGAGGAGGAGGAGGCGAAGGAGGAGGAGAGAGGAGGGAGGAGGGAGAGGAGGCGGAGGAGGAGGAGGGAGGAGGGCTGAGGGGGAGGAGCAGATGGGGCAGGAGGAGGAGGAGGCAGGAGGGGAACGAGGGGCCTCGGGAGGGCCACCCGTGCGGCTCCTCGGGCTCCTCGGTCTTCACGAGGGGCGGCGCCGACGCCGGCCTCAGGCGGGCGGACGCTGGGCGCGGCCGGATGCCGAGCAGCACCTCCTCCTCGTCCCCCCCCTCCTCCCCCTCCCCCCTTGCCTCCCTCCTCCCCTGTTCTTCTGATCCTCCCTGCTCCTCCCCCCCCCCCCGCCCACCTGTACCCCCCCCCCACACCGCCCCCTCATCCTCCTCCCCTCCTCCTCCTCCCCTCCTCCTCCTCCTCCTCCTCCTCCTCATCCTCCTCCTCCTCTTCCTCCTCCTCCTCCTCCTCCTCCTCCTCCTCCTCCTTCGATGCCTTCAATGTATCTCTAAAGAGAAGGTCCAGCAGACCACACCTCTCCTCATGCTCCAGGAAAACGCAGTTCATGCACCAGCACATGAATTAGCCGAACGCCAACCAAACAGGCTCCACGATATTGATACTAGGAAGCTGCGCCATCGGGCATTCAGCCAAGCCAGCCACATACAAGATCACGTTTTGAAGACGCCAAGCTGCGGAACAGCTGCTCCATCACCAGCAACACTAGGAAGAAGACGAGGCCCACGCGCCAGTTGATGAAAAGGCGCCGCCGACCACACCAGGACGCGACGCCATTGGCACCAGAGGGTCACAGCCTCGTGCAGAATCACCTGCGGATGAGCTGAAGGTAAGCTGCAACCCGCCACTGGCAAGCCTCAAAAAGAGCTCCGCCGACACGCTGGGAACCCATGACAGCGGAGCTGAGCTCCTGATTGGCAACAGGAAGCCACACACACACACACACACACACACACGCACCAGAGAGGAAAAAATGTCGCGGGCGCCAACAACGCTGGGGCCACAAGCAATACCAAAAGCACAATTCCCCCTCCAGATAATCCAAGAGCCAGGGCTGCGCAAGCACCAAGAACGCTAATTCAGTGCGCACGTGGTGAACAATCACTCATCCAACCACCAACTCAAGGTCTGTCTCGTGCCGAGGGGAAAGGAGGCGTGCAGTAGATGATAACGAAAACAGCGTGCAAGACCAGGCTGGAGGACCATGGTGAGGTGCTGAGACCAGCCACAGCAAGTGCAATGGCGACAGGACTCCGCAGCGAATTACCCTGGCATTCACCGAAGACGAGAACTGTCCTCATCATCCTCCTCCCTCTCCCCTTCCTCTCCCTCCTCCCCCTTCTGCAAGCGATCCTCGATGCACGTAGTGTTGCAAGTACTGCGTGGCACAACTAGGCCCAGATCGGCATTGAAAACCCATGCCTACGGTTCCTCCCCGTCCCTACCACACCTTCCCCCCTCCTCCAGCTCCTCCTCCTCCTCCTCCTCCTCACCCTCCTCCTCCTCCTCATCTTCCTCCTCCTCCTCAACATCATTATCATCGTCCTCCTCCTCCTCATCATCAGCATCATCAGCATCATCAGCATCATCAGCATCATCAGCATCAGCAGCAGCATATTCGTCATCATGATCATGCTCATCATCATCATCATCATCATCATCATCATCATCATCATCATCATCATCATCATCATCATCATCATCATCATCATCATCATCATCATCATCATTATCATCAGCATCATCAGCATCATCAGCAGCAGCATCATCACCATCATCATCAGCATCATCATCAGCATCACCATCGCCATCGCCATCGTCATCGTAGTCCGCGCCATCACCGTCGGCAGCAGCACGCTTAAGCATCAGCATCAGCACCATCATCAGCATCCTCATCATCATCACCAAAACCGCCACCACCATCATCAGCATCATCGTCATCATCATTGCCATCATCATCATCATCATCATCATCATCATCATCATCATCATCATCATCATCATCATCATCATAATCATCATCATCATCATCATCATCATCATCATCATCGTCATCACCGTCATCATCATCATCAGCGCCATCATCATCATCATCATTATCATTACCACCATCATCAGCATCATCATCACCATCAGCATCATCAATAGTATGCCCATGATCATCATCATCATCATGATCATCATCATCCGCATCACCATCATCCTCCCCATCATCACTACCAGTAGCATCATCAGCAGCAGATTCAGCATCAGCAGCAGCATCAGCATCATCAGCAGCATCAGCATGATCAGCATCATCAACAGCATCACCATCACCATCACCAGCATCACTATCATCAGCAGCAGAAACAACAAAACCAACATCATCACCACCATCATCATCATCATCGTCAGCATCGTCATCATCATCATCATCGTCATCGTCAACATCATCACTACCATAATCATCATCATCAGTGCGAGAGCGGAGGTGGCAAAGCCCGTCCCCCGCATCCATCCCTACCTTCAAAATAACTCCTCCCTGTCGCACCCACAGACGCGTCGTCAGGGCGGGACCGACGCTTCGCCTGAGAAATCTTCACCACTTCTGGGTTCGAAGCTTGAAACTCGCAATCAGAAGCCTGCACAGCTTCAAGGATGGAGGAGGGTCACTTTCCAAATAGGCTGTCCCCCAGCGCCACGCACATTCGTCCACAAGAAATTAGAACAGCGTCAATGATGACGGGCGGTTCCTTTCAAACTCTGGCTCTCGGCTTAGCGCCACGCGCATTCGCCTCAAAAGATTGCAGCTGCTCCAGGGAAGGACGATGTGGAGCTCTCGATCGAGACCTCTTCGAGGGAGAGAGAGAGAGAGAGAGGGGGAGAGAGAGAGAGAGAGAGAAAAAAAAAAAAAAAAAAAAAAAAAAAAAAAAAAAAAAAAAAAAAAAAAAAAAAAGAGAGAGAGAGAGAGAGAGAGAGAGAAAGAGCGAGAGAGAGAGGCGCGCGGGAGTCCACCTCCGCACCCATGGAGGGTTGCCGGCACACGGCCTCCAGCCTGCTTCTCACACGCGCCGATCGGCGGATTGGCACCCAGAGTGCTGAATTGTACATGTCGACGCGATATGATATCAATCCGTCCATCTTTTGCACGGGCCCCCCCCCCCGGGCCCTGGACCCCAGGGGCTCCCACTCCAAAAACAGTTTCGCCCAGCGTCCATCCACTGCGCTCTGGATTCTAAGCTCGAGCGCGCCCCTGCGTTCTACTTGGGCTACTGTCCAACATCGCAAGCCAGCATGATTATAAGCGTCCTCTGCCTTGTCTGCCCTCTTTATCCAATCCACCCAAGGCTCCAAATCCATCGCGTTTGGCAAGTGACGCGTTGGGGTTTGCACGATGTTTCGCAGCAGTCGCCGTCTCTCAGTCAGTAGGCGGCTTTCCCTTTTCAGCGGTCGTAGTCAAGCAGCCGCCACCATTCAGAACTATAGCAGTAACAACAGAATCAAATAACTGCAGCCTGGAACGCAAAGAATAATGTGACCCACACAACTCAGAGCGGAACTGCCCAAAGGCTGCCCATCCACGCTCCATCCAGTGTCCAATTTCAACATCGCTGAAATCTTCGAAACATAAGTATCGGCCCAAGTACGCAGTGCCGTCAGAGAATGGAAGCACCTCGACATTTCCCTGCCCGACAGCAACCTGCGGCTGTCTCAGCATTCCACGCCTGAGCATTACATTCGAAAAGATATTTGCTTTCCCACGTGCAATTTGAATCCGGCTTCGGCTGCCTCGCGGGTGAGATCCCCCAGCACGCGCCCCACCTGCGCGCGGGTAGCGCCCAGCAACAAGATGCCGCCAGCAAAAACGAAGGTTCGTCAAATAATGCCCGTTCACATGTATGCCAAAACGCTTTGACCGCCAACTTGCTTCGAACTCCCTGACGATTTGCCCCAACACCATGTTGAACAAAGTCGGGTTCATAGGGCCCCTTGCTTCCTCCCCCGGTCGATCGCGAAAGCGCGGCTTTCCCGGTCAGAGGTGGCTCGCCCTTCCTGCTTGCCGCGCAAACGCTTAGGCACCTGCGCGCAATTCTCTGGCACCCGCTGGCCCCGCAAAGCTTGCCACGTGAAGGAATGCCGCACTGTGCCAAATGCTTTCTCAAAGTCCACAGCGGACAACACCCAATGGTCTTTGTTGAATTCGAACATCTTCTCACACAACAGAACCATTGTCAACAAATGGTCTTCGCAGATATAGCCCTTTCGAAAGCCAGCCTGGCCCACGGACTGTTCTGCTCGAAGGAGAGGCAACAACCTGGAATGTAGCATCATACTGATAAGCTTGCACAGGATAGACAGTATAGAAATTGGCTTGTAATTCGATGGCAGATGTGGATCCCCCCTTTTTGCAAATCACCTTTGACGCACGTGCTCTGCCACGCCCCTGGCGTTCTCTGACCACCAGAGAGAAACGACGCGGATACAGCAGCAACCACTTCCAGGAGGTACTTCCCGCCACATTTGAACATCTCCCGCACGATGTTCGAAGAATTCGCGGCTTTCCTTTTCTCATTCTCCGCACCTGGTCCTTTACTTATTGAGCTAGCTGTCACTGGAGGAATACGGGTCGCTGCATTCTCGCCCGCATCCACATCGCCACGTTGATTGCGCTTGCTTTGGCCTGTATACAAATCTTCGCAAAAGCAAAACGATGCCAAAACATCCACGACGTCTTGTCTGTCAGCGTGCACATGTCCGCCAGTGTCCTTCACACTTGTCAACCGTACTTTGTGGTCGTTCTTCTCGATGGCGACAACTGTGCCCAATCTGGTCTGCGCGCCCCAGATAGTGGCGATCCGCTCCTGCTTGCGTGAACGCTGCTAGGACCGCAACTCCTCATGTAAATCATTGTTGATGCCCCAAGACAGCCCAAGAGGGCCCCAAGACGGCCACTGAAGACTCCAAGACGGCCCAGGAGGGTTCCAGGACGGCCTCAAGAGGAATCCAAGACGGCCCAAGAGGCGCCCATGATGGCCCAAGAGTGCGCCAAGACAGCCACGGAGGCCCCAAGAGGTCCCCAAGAGGCCTCCAAGAAGCCCCCAAGAGGGCCCGAGAGGCCCCCCAGAGGCCGAGACGGCCCCCGAGGCCTAAGGAAATCCCCAAAAGGCTCCAAGAGACCCCCACGAGGCCCACACGAGGCCCCAAGATGTTTCCCAGAC